ATCATCTCTATCATTTTTACTGTAGTTTATCATTGCCATTGTTTACTGTTCTGTCTGGAGCAGGTCTCTTGTAAATCAGTCCTTGTGGCTCAATGAAGCCAACCTGTATAAATAAAAGGTTGAATAAATCATTATGTGTATATTTATATTCATTCAACCTTTATTGATACAGGTTAGTTCCATTGAGCCAATAGGACTCATTTACAAAAGAGACCTGGATTTTAACAAAGAGTGATGACAACAGTGGATAACAAACTGTTTTTCAATTGTAAAACAAACAAACAGTTAAAAAAACTTAAATTTGTATGAATCATTTGTGAATGTGTATTGTTGTTGTTGTTATCAGTGTCTTATTATGTTGTGCTCTAGTTCAGTGTCTTCATGGACGATGTGTGTGAGGGTGGACATGTTTGGAGGTTGCTGTGTTGAAGCTCCATGAATCAGCCTCTCTGCAGCTCTCAGCACCTTCACTAAGCCTTGAGGGAATCACTGAGCTGCTCTTGTTCTTCACAGTTAGAAGGTGGGAGCTCTCGTCAAATGATGATCTCCAGCATCATCTTGTTCATGCCAGGCTTTTCATCCACTGACCACAGACACCTGGAAACATCAGGGGGACCAGTAGCTGTTTAACACATCTGGAAGGAAACCAGTGAGATTTTAATATGATCATTATGATATGATGTTATGTGGGGGAGTGGTGGAGCAGAGGTTAGAAGATGGGCCTGTGATCGGAAAGTCTCAGGTTCAACTCCCGGTACTGTCAACATCAAAATGAGGTGGAAAAGGTGAAACACCCACACCTGCCTCCACCCTCATTGGCCCCACCCTGGTCCCCTGAGCAAGGCACTCAACCTTGCTCAGGGGAAGAGAGGAGACACAGAATTCACATTGCTTGAGGTCCAGTGTCAAGTTTCCACAGTCACTGGGGTGTCATGTCATCTGCTGGTGTTGGTCCACTGTGTTTTATCAAGCGCAGGGTCAATGCATCTAGCTATCAGGAGATTTTGGAGCACTTCATGCTTCCATCTGCTGAAAAGCTTTATGGAGATGAAGATTTCATTTTTCAGCACGACCTGGCACCTGCTCACAGTGCCAAAACCACTGGTAAATGGTTTACTGACCATGGTATTACTGTGCTCAATTGGCCTGCCAACTCTCCTGACCTGAACCCCATAGAGAACCTGTGGGATATTGTGAAGAGAAAGTTGAGAGACGCAAGACCCAACACTCTGGATGAGCTTAAGGCCGCTATCGAAGCATCCTGGGCCTCCATAACACCTCAGCAGTTCTGATCACAAATTATATCGGATCGCGCCAAATACACAAAAAATAACCCTAACAGAGTGTTTACATGACACACTTATATTCCGACTGGCCATTTGATCCGGTTACTTATGTCCATGTAAACATACCCACAGGGTATGTCATGTAAACACACCGTTCGGGTTATTTTTTGTGTATTCGGCGCAATCCGATATAATTTGTGATCAGAACGAAACGGGTGGTTTACGCCGATCTGTAACCCGATCGGTGCGCATGTAAACGCTTGATCTGTTCGT